GAATACCAGGATAGGAAGGATGGTGTAGGTTTACGTTTATTAGATTGATACATAAATATTACCAATAAGAAAGTGTACGTTGGTGTGTGTCAGAAACAGCGTAAGGCTTAATGTCTTTTCCAAAAAAACCAGGTGATGGGCCGGTCTCCAATCAAAATGCCCGGGCTGAATTTTTGTCCCAGTCCAGCCCTGGCTCAGTGTAATTCACACCCTGGGAGGTTTTCTCAGCATAACTGAACATCAGAGAGAGTCAGACAGCTGCTGGGTTTGTGATCAGCTCTCTGGCTTCCTGTATCACTGTGGCTCTTCGAGCACAATAATAAACTGCAGAGTTTTCAAGCTGCTCATCATATATATGTATATATATATATATATATATATATATATACTGGACAATTCATGTCCATAGGCTTGTATTATAAGTTTTTTTTTCTGAAATGGGAGGTGGCTACCACCGCCATTTTGATTGTGTCACACGTCTCGTCACGCCCAGACAATTCCATAAAAGGGAAAAGAGATGGAGCTGAGGGTGGGGCTGTAAGGTTGGGATCAAATGATGACACCCGTCGAACTGAAGCGATGTAGCTACAAGCTAACCCAAAGCTAACGCGGAGGTGGGAGCTAAGCTAACAGAGGTAGCTACCTACAACCGGAGCTAAGTGTTGTCCTAACTGGTCACGGTTTATGGTCCTTTATCTGAACAAATTGTTTCCTTTTTTCTAAATAAGTTTTAACCCAATTACAGAAAACCTCTTATTCCATACTGACTTAATTTTCGAAGTAACCTTGAGTGATCAATGATGTCAAATGCTTTTTTCAAATCAATGAAATCACAAATGAAGTAATTTTTATTGTCAATTGCTGTTGATATTTTATCCGTTAATTCCATTATTGTCATTGCTGTGGAATGTTTAGTTCTAAACTCATATTGTTCATTGTTTAAAATATTTTTTTTAAATGAAATTATTTAATTTAGGGTTAACTATTGTTGCTTTTAATCTTAATATATTACCTCTACTTATGACCAATAAGCTGGGATGTTCTATATAAATATAGAATATCAACCTGCTTGGTCTTTGGATGTTTAATCAGAAGATTCAAGGATTCTTTGTTTATCCAGGGCATAGGCATCATTTTAACCGGGGACGCCGGGGCAAAATTTGTGATTGGCAACTGTGTCCCCCCCACTTTCAAAAACGCCTGCTGATGAGGATTTTTGTTTTACCAGCTCAGATCTTATACCAGGGGCCGGCAACCTGTTCCCATCAAAGAGCCATTATTACCCATTTCCCACGGTAATTTTGGACGGACCTTAATAAGCAGTGACTTAAGTGAAGCAGGCAGGTCGCGCTAGAAATTTTCGTTTAAAAAGATGTCATAAATGTTTTCCCCCCTCATTTTTATTTCTAAAATATGAAGTAAAAACTCACAATTTTATTTTCATTCATTTGTCATTAATATGTATTCTACACCCATGCGTTAAGTGGACCATCTTCCAGTAAAAGCAAAGCATCCAGCCCACCTCTCCAAATGCGTAAAATGTGCATAAGCCGCTAGTTAGGCGCGCCGCGCGCACCGTCAGCTACGTCAGCCCAGAGAGCAACTAGAGAAAGAATAGAGGATAATACGTCAGCCCAGAGAGCAACTAGAGAAAGAATAGAGGATAATTGTGTCTGGACGTGGATGGAGATTACATTTTACATCAGCCTGATCATCATTTAAATATGTAAACCACCTGGCTTCTAGTCCACGCTATCAGCATTATTTCAATTGGTGTGTGTGTGTGTGTTTTCCACTTCAAACACTGGTCTAACCAACCAGACCAGCATGTCCAGTAACATGTTGTAGTGATCCCAAGCGTCTCAGCAGCAGTCCCCAACTCAACCAGCAGGAGGCAATAGTGGTTCACACCAGACCTTTATTAGACTTCTTCTTCAACCCTTTATAACACTACAGACACAGAACTTCTATCACGCTCCTACCACACAGAGTCACGGTGTCAGTTAACCATGCTAATTCAACCCGCTCCACAGAACACACATCACCTTCCCTGTGGCTTACATTAACATAACACTCAAATCAACACATAGAAACTAGCAGAGGGATAGGAAACACATATAACACAATACCCAGAATGCACCTGGCTTACAACCCCAGCCAGGTCATTACACTATTAATGTTACAATTAAACAGTTTCACTTCATGTAGGCTAGGAACATTTCACCTGCCGTGGCCTGACCGCTTCTGCTCCACATAAACTTTGTGCGTAATCAAATGTCTCTACAGGAGATTTCTGAGCTGAAGAGGCTATTCTGCTTCAGACTGGATGCGTCATGCGTCTCCATATTAGAGACGGGAACAAGCGCTATTCAGCCAAAGTTTCATAATTTCATAAGAAGAACATTTTTCCAAGTGACACATCCCTCAGAGAGACCTGGTTTCCAGACCGCTTCAGTGGGAGGAAATCTTATCTCATGCGTCGTGGTTCTGCACTGCGCTGCAAACCCCTCTGCAGATCTTCAGCCCACTGTCCACCGTGGGCGCTCCAAGCCGCGCTGAACACAGTGTCCAGTATAAAGCTCTGATGTTCTGATGGGAATCATTTCTTGATGGATTTAGTTACCTCCGCGATGTGCGTAACGATTAAAATGTCAGCGCATCAGTGCCATAGACTGTAAATACTGGACAATTCGATTCCATAGGCTCCGATAACACGTTTGTTGTCTATAATGGGAGGTGGCCACCACCGCCATTTTGACCGTGTCACAGATTGTCCAGCCCAGACAATTCCATAAAAGGGAAGAGAGGAGGAGCTGAGGGTGGGACTGTAAGGCTGGGATCGAGTGACGACACCCAGGCGAACTAGCTACGAGCTAACCCTTGCTAACCCAAAGCTAACTCGGAGGTGGGAGCCGGTGTTGTGCCATAAATCGACTCGCTGCCAAAAAATGATTAGCAACTAAAGAAAGGAAGGGGAAAAAAATCAAATCGCTGGAGAATTGTTTATTTACATTTATACAACGTTTACATTCAATACAGGGCGCCATTTTACATTGTTTATTTATTTTTTAGTATCAAGGCTGTAACATAAAGAAAGCCAGTTCTTACCACAAACCATCTTTCAATCGCAAATATTGCAAAAAGGATTAATATATCCTCATTGTGAACGTTTAAGACAAATAGCAACACTTAAAACAACTTCCGAACTGGAAAAACTAAGCTAATCATTTTTTGGCAGTGAGTCGATTTATGGCACAACACCGGCCCTCAGCACCCCGCCACAGGCTCCAACAGATGCTGGTGTTTGAAACCCTCCCAGCGGGACAGGGGAACTCATTCTTGGGCGGGTCGAGTCGGCCCGCAGCAGCGCGGTGTAGCCTACATATTTTGTTAGATAAGTCGCTCCGGAGTATAAGTAGCAGGACCAGCCAGATTATGTAAAATAGTGCGAGTTATAGTCTGTAAAATACGGTAGTTATTAGTATTTGGGATAAATTAGCAGGCCAAATACATTTCATATATTTCCAAAACGTAATACTTGTTTGTATCTTGTACAGCCAACTAGCCTTTATTCTGGACTCAGTACAATTTACCAAAGGTAAAGAGACATCATACAGATGAAGTAAGCACAAGATAACTTATTGGAAGACACGGAATTATTATCATGAGAACCAGGACAGCCTGATAACAGTCATGTGAAAATAACAGTTAAAAAGTATGTATGTGTAATAGAAATAAAAATATATTAGAATCACTGTGTTCCAAACAATAAATCAGCCATAGCTGATTAGTAAATGTGACATGAGGTCTGGGAGTTTTTAAGTTTCATTCTTTTATTACATTTTTTTCTTAGATCTGTTAAAAGGTCACCATGGCAGCCTGTGTGTCTCCAACATCAGCTACACAACGCAGCAAGTGTAAGTTCCTGTCTTGACCACTTCATGTATGGTTTTGTACTTTAAACAATTATGACAAACCTGTTATTTTTTCTCCATAGCCATTTGGATTATTGGAGACAGCTACGTGAGGCGGGGTGCCCAGAGAGCTGCAGAGACCCTCGGCCTCCCTGACGTCTGTGTCTCCTGGTTCGGTTGGGGCGGACTGAGGTGGAAAGACCTTCTCCCCTTTTTTCACTCCAGGCATGGAAGAGCAGCTCCGGATGTCATCATTCACTGCGGCGGCAATGACATGGGGGTGGTCAGCAGTGTGAAGCTGGTCATCATGAAGGAGGACCTGCACCGGCTTCACCTTCTCCACGCTCATATGACCATCATCATGTCGTCCATCACCCAAAGGCGTAGATGGAGGGCAGGTGTAAAACCTGCCAAAATTGAGAAGGCCCGGAGGTTCGTCAACAATGTAATGGCTACTTTCATTTCTAGTTTAAATGGTGCCGTTGTTGTGCATTCTCACATCAGACATGACAGTCCAGGGATATTTTTGTCAGACAGAGTTCATTTCACTAACAGGAGAAATGATACATTTTTAACTAATATTGCCGATTGTCTTAAAAGCCAGCTCCAAAAGCAGTGAAAGACTTCCAGGTGGGAGTCTCGCTGCTTTTGGATTTGGCCTTTAGGACAGATTTATTTTCAGGCAAACAGGATAAACATATCCCTGACTGTTATAGCTAATGTGTTGATGTAATTTATCTGTAGCCATTACACTGTTGAACTGTTCTTCCTTCAAACCACAATGTTACACTCACTCTGCAGCTCTCTGGGCCCAGGTTTGTTTTTTAATGTGCTGACACTTTGTGCCCTGTGTTATAAAACGTAGCGTAAAAAAATAAATGTTTTTGCTCAATTACTGGAATTTCTTTAAGACTACAAAGTGAGGAATAATCATTTACAAGTTATTTGTACAACAGGCCCATTTTAAATCCCAACAGTTTCTCAGCAGACAATAGAAATGTGTTCTTTACTAACTTTACTTGGTTTAAAAATCATGTTTGAAGGTACTTAACCCAAGACATGCAGAATACAACACTGACCAAAAACTGATGGAAAACACGATTTATTTATAAGGAGGAACTTAAGGTGCACAGATAAGTCTGTGGTTGGAACTGCAACAACAGCTCAGCGTCTGGAGGAGGGAGAACACAGGTGAGCTTAGGTTATGGTTTCAAAATCGATTGTAGGCAGGCAGAGGTGTTCAGCAGACTTACTGTGGGGCGTGTATGTGTTGGCTGGAGGAGGGAGAGGTAGAGAGCCGGGGGAAGCGCAGGAGAGGGAGCAGAGGTGGAGAGAAGCGGGGCGTCCTGGTGGATGGGGCACTGGGTGAGATGAGAGGTGGGTTATGGAGGGTGGTGATATGGTCCGTGTGCTGAATATCCAAATCCTGGTCCGTGTGCTGAATATCAGAATCCTGGAGTAGAGGTCAGTATCCAATGAGGTCGACAGGAATCCTGAAGAATGGTAAATCCAATATAAGAGCAAAAACACTACGACATAACATTAATCCTAGGAACACTAGAGGTAACACGAGTGGCTGGTTACTACCAAAACTGATGCAATCTTCCGGCGTTGAATTGTGTCCACCATCCACCTTAAATAGTAAAGCACCCCGCTGATTGCTGATCAGGAACGGCTGGGCCACTCCCTCTCCTGGCAAGAGACTCACAGATGGTTAAGAGAACAGGAGTACTCACCCCGGCTCATGACAAGGAGCCTTAATGTGTACAAGGTTCCCCTTGAGTAATATTGAATGTAGATGCTGAACCAATCTGGTATAAAGACTGCTGATAGAGGATAAACAAGTAAATAAGAGAAAAATTAATACAACTAGCAAACCAACATAAAAACAGCAACCAGCAGCTGCACCTGTGAAGAAACATTTCTAAGAGTCATCAAGAAAACGTGGGATGAACAACTATAAACATGTAAACCATGAACCACAAACATTATGAACAACAAACATCAACAAGCATGTGTTCGTGCGTGTGCTGGGATGTGAAGTGTTAGACCGGATCAGGTGCACTCTGGAACGGCCACAAGCATCAGAAAACCTTGCTACAGAGAACTCAGCAAGGCTGACACAGGTCATGGGCCACAGGACACAGGAATCACACAGCATTTCCACCTGAAACAGAATCATTAAAATTAGAATCAAATACAACAGTTGTTCAGTATGACATCAAATGGATGTTTAAAGAAGGCAATTGGACTTCTTTGGTTTCATGAACACACTGGTACACCAGATCACTGTGTGTGTGTGTGTGAGTGAATGTGCTTGCGTGCATGCATGTGTGTGTCTGTGTGTGTGTAAAAGCCATGTGTAGTGTTTATTTATAAAGCATATGTTGTTGGATTTTATCCAGAATCGAGACTTTGAAAATATATAGTTTAATTACAGTTTGATTTATTTGACATCTGTATAATGTTTATTATTTTGTTTTTCCCCCTAAATACCTAACGTTTGAGTTTAACATGAATATTAGTCATTCATCCCAATACATAAAGTTACTGTTAGCCGATGTTTTTCAACACAGCGGAATCAAGACGTAAGTTGAAGTAAGTGTTGCAGCAATGGAGGTTAACTCGTAAAACTCACACGGACTCAAAGATTCACCGTTTTAGAGCTCGGCGTCAGACGGCCAGACCACTACATCCGGGTATCGCTCACACGCCCATCTTTCGCCAGGAGCTCGCTTTTATTTACTAGTGTCGCAGGTCAAAGGTTACACACACACGTCACTTCCATTTTTCCATGCCCATATAAAGAACAGACCTCACACATACACATAAACACACAACATCAGAACATAATACTTAACAGTTACACATTTTAAATTTTTATAGGGGAAGACTGCAGGGAGGGAGCGGTAAAATCATAGACTGTACATACTTGCTACCCGCCGGCTGTGATCACAAGCGACAACATATTAGTTCCCGCTGCTTCTTCGGTAAACAGCGCCAACAAAAACAAAGAAACTTGGGATCTTGTTGGCGTGGCGGTGGGATTTAAGGGAAACGCTGTATGCCCTATAGACTTCTCACCGAGCTGCAGTATTTCTCCGGTCAGATCTGTCTCTGAGAGCTCCACGAGCGGTCAGCCCGCGCAGAAACTAGCCGCCGCACCGGTCAGGCTGCCTGGCCTGACCGCTGGGGATTACCGGATGGAAGAATGGACACAGGTGTCACTCCAAGCCTGCTGGAGATTTTAAGGGTTCAGATGAAAACACCCTACCACTCAGGCTGCTTACACATCGATATTAAGTTGTCGCTGTTGCGCTCACGCCGTAATACAGTATTAGATGCGGTTAAAGTCAGACATGAAAAACTCCACGAGCAGTCAGACCGCGCAGCAGCTAGGCGCAGCCAGTAGGCGCCGGATCGGTCAGGCTGCCCGGCCTGACCGCTGGGGATTACCGGATGGAAGAATGGACACAGAAGTCTCCCTCTTAGCGCTCCGTCATATTTCAACCCATTTTGATCTTTTACCATATTACCCATCTAAATATGCCCTATTAATTATTTTACCATATTTTACATTTAAATTTCATGGTTAAACAGTACATGCTACATGTTAAACTGATAGTTAGCTAGCTACTTCGGTAAACTCAGCTAGTTTAAAGGCAGCAGTGACATAAAATACGAATATAGATTTTAACTTACCGAAAAAAATGAAGTGGAGACTCCTTGGACGCTCTATTAGTGCAATTAATACCACTGCAAGTCATTTTGTCCAACAATTGCATCAATAATATCCAAAACAGAATTCACAAGCACAGAGACTCAAAATCCCGAAACAGCTTCCAGGAGGGGCCGAGGCTGTACTGAGGCCTTTCCACGGAGCTAGCTCTGTGGTCACGTGGGTCTGAGGCGGCGGTCACGTGTGTCGGATGCTCATTAATTATACAGAATTTTAGGCTTTCAATACACTTAAACAGAAGAGTGAGAAAAAAATTCACCCCCCTCAGAGTTGTCATGAGTATAAACTAGATAATTTAGACAAAAACATGTTTTGGTACCAGGCTGTAAACATGTTTATTTCTGCTGTGAAATCGGCATTTTTAACATGGGGGTCAATGAGGATTTGCTCGCTTCTGACACCAGCCCCCAGCGGATGAGGGTGGAACTACAATTTTTCTTACTTCCGGGTTGGGACCATTTTTAGAGAGGCATTGTGGGGGCTTGATCAGTGCGCGTCGGGGTAATTCTTTCCAAACAACCAACATCCTTAGTTTATCCTTAGTTTATCCGTCGTTAACCTGGTGTTAATCAAGTTTAATTTTATCTCTTTGCAACAATTTTCACAAGAAAACAGAACAGTTAAAAGCAGGGCTTGTGTTGACCGGATAGTTCCTGTTTTGGCCGTTTGACCGTTTATTTTGACAGAGAAAGAATAGAAAGAATTACCCCGACGCATGCAGACGAACTGACATTTTATTCCACTTAAATCGCAGATGTAGCTAAATCACTCAAGAAAAGATTCCCATCTGAACATCTGAGCTGGACATTGCTCAGCTCAGCTCGCTGTCAGCGTGTACGTAAGGTCCACAGCGAGCTGAAGATGTGGAGAGGGGCTTGGAGTGCGTCGCAGAACCAGAGCGCATGCGGGAAGTTTCCTCCGTCTGAAGCGAGACTTGTCACTTAGAAAATGTTCCCTGATTATGAAACTTTGGCTGAATAGTGCTTGTTCCTGTCTCCAATGTGGCGACACATCCAGGAGCCGTCTGAGGAGAATCCCAGAATCTCACATCCTCGTCAGCTCAGGAAGCGCCTATGATTACGCACAAGCGTAACGCGTCAACCCGGTCTCACAGTAAGACCGGGTTGGAACTGTTCAGGTTTACGCAGACAATCTTTACATTTAGAATTGACATACAGATGTAAAATTAATGCAGTAAAATATAAAGCATTTTATTTAAATATCCATTCATTATTTTACAAGCACAGAGAGCCGCATCAGATGGATGGAAGAGCTGCATGCGGCTCCAGAGCCGCGGGTTGCCGACCCTTGTGCTAGCCTACTTTATTGTCCCCAGCAATTTTTAAACCCCAGTCAAGTGTATGGTTATTGTCCCCAGCAATTCTGAAAACAAACTGACGCCCTTGATTCAGGGATTGTAGAACACTTCGTCTTGATTCAAGTAAGATTCAGGGTTTATAAAAAGTAAGACTTTATTTTTCAAACAATTAAAACATGACAATTTAACTAAGATTACTGTGAATGGGTGGATCTAGGTGGATGGAACGAGATGTATGGTGACTAAGTGTAAATATGATGTTATCAGAACTTTCGTATCTAGAAGAGCTGAGTTCTGGGTGCAAAAGGGAAGAATTTGGCTTGCGTTAAGCTATGTAGTTGATTCTTATCAAAAAGCATCAGACGCTATCTGTGTGTCTACCTCACCCTTTCTTGGAGACCCTCTTCGTGGATCCGAAGGTCAGAGAGGTCGGATGACCTCTGGCACCGAGGGCTGTAGAATACCCGTAGCACCGACTCTCCAGTCCAGAGATGTCTCGGGTCACAACAGATGGATGGAACCATTTGCGTCTCGGAGGACCCTTAAGGAGTCGGAACAATATCAGCTTTGTTCTGCAGTAACCGATTGCTGTGTCAGCAGTAGGCAGCTTTTAGCAGGGTTTTGGCAGCTGGCCAAAAATGCTCAGGGTTAAAGAGTTTTCCCTCCGGACGGCCGTTCTGAAGTGTTCTCTAGAACTGAATGCTGAATGATGGAAAGCTGGAATGTGACTGCTGAATCACCTTAGTGATTTTGTTTTAATATTCTCATGTTATGAATTCTTGGCCAATCGGAACGTGCCATGTTAAGGGATATTACCAAGAAAACCTCAGACATCACGCCTTCTTGAGATACCGGATGCTCTGATCTGCGGTAAAGAAATATCTATGTGTCATGAGTTTAACTTAACTTTAATTTGTCCTTGTGTCTGAGTGCGGGTGACGATTGCCTTGTCATATCAAACATTACTGATTACCATATATATATATATATATATATATATATATATATATATATATATATATATATATATATATATATATATATATATATATATATATATATATATATATATATATACATATATATATATATATATCATTCAATGAAATAATTAATTTCATTCAATTCAATTCAATTCAAAAATACTTTATTAATCCCAGAGGGAAATTGATTGCTGTAGTAGCTCAGAATAATAATAATAATCAAGTCATCAAAGAGTTATTGTATATTACAATGGCTGTTGGCAGGAAGGATCTCCAGTAGCGGTCAGTGTTGTAGCGAAACTGAAGAAGCCTCTGACTGAAGACACTCTTCCGTTGTCGGACAGACTTGTGAAGAGAATGCTCAGGGTTGTCCATCATTTTCTTGATTCTCTGGAGAATCCTTCTTTGCATTATCTCCTCCAGTGGTTCCGCAGTCGTCCCCAGAACAGAACCCGCCTTTTTTATTAGGCTGTTGAGCCTTTTCAGGTCCCTGCTTCTGATGCTACTACCCCAACAGACGATGGCTGAAGAGATTACACTCTCAACAACAGACTTGT